AATCAATAACAGAAAGCTATCTGTAACATCCTATAATATTTAGAAATTGAATAATAATCCATGGTTCAAAGAAGAAATCACGCGCGAAGTTAGAAACTATTTTGAAGTGAATGAGAATGAAAGTGCAACATCAACATTTGTGGTGATTTGTGCTAAAGCAATGTTTAGAGGGAAATGTATAGCTTGAAGTGCTTGCATCAGAAAAGAAAAAAGGTCTAAAATCAATTGTCTGAACTCCTGTCCTAATAAATTAGAATGACAACAAATTAAAGCCAAAGTGAATGCAAGAGGACATAATAAATAGCAGAAATCAGTAAAATCAGAAACGGATAAACAGTGGCGAAAACCAGCGAAACCGGAAGCTGGTTCTTTGGACAGACGAGTAAAACTGATGAACCTCTTGCTAGACCAAGCAGGAAAGGAACAGAACACTCGAATTACTGTTCTCAGGAGTGAAAGAGGGAATGTCGCCACAGATCCCACAGACATTGAAAAGATATAAGTAAATATTGTGAACAGCTTTATGCCAATAATTTAAACAATTTAAGTGAATTGTACAAATCCCTTGAAAGACGTCAATTACCAAACTCAAGCAAAGTTCTGAAAGCCGTATATCAACTAGGTAAGTTGAGAAGGAAACCCTGACTCCTGCTATAACATGCACGGTCCTTAAAGAAACTACACGCAGTGGAATAAGCCAGACGCGAAAGGACAGATGCTATATGACTCCACCTACATGGTACTCAGAGTCGTCAAATTCATAGAGGCAGAAAGTAGAATGTGGGTTGCCGGGGGCTGGGGAGGGGAAATCGGGAGTTATTGTTTAATGCTGCGGTCCCCAACGCATGCACCCCCCATCCATGGAAAAACTGTCTTCCATGAAACCAGTCCCTGGTGCCAAAGGTTGGGGACCACCGGTTTAAGGGGTGCAGAGTTTCTGTCAGGGAAGATGAAAAATTTCTGGGGATGGACGGTGGTGACGGATGTACAAAAATGTTAATGTCCTTAACGCTGCTGAACCGTACACCTAAAAATGGTTACGATGGTCAATTTTATGTTATGTACATTTTAACACAATTTAAAGTTTAAAAAACACAAAATTTAAAAAAAATAAATTGAATGTATAATTTAAAAAACAAAAACTTTCCTCAAAGAAAACTCCAGGTCCACGTGGCTTCACTGGCAAATTCTATCAAACATTAAAGGAAAAAAATAACACCTTTCTTATACAAACTTTTACAGAAAACAGAGGAGGAGGTAACACTTCCCAACTTATCTTACGAGGCCAGGAGTAACCTAATACCAAAACCAGACAAAGGCATTACGAGAAAAGAATAAACATAGAAGCAAAAACCCTTAGCAAATTGAAGCTAGCAATATATAAAAGAAGATAGTATATCATGACCAGGAATGCAAGGTTGGTTTAACACTTGAATATCAATCAATACAATTCACCGTGTTAATATATATCTTTAAATGTCTCATTAAGCATCATGAAAATGTGCATGGTTTTTCACAACGTGCTTTAAAAAGTCTTAAATGGTGTCTGTGTTTGAAATTAAACTTTTTTTAAAAAGTGATTTTTAACATTCTGTTAGATGCACCATGGTTATTCAATCTGTCTCGTGATCTGGACCCTGGGTTGAACTTTATCCCTCTCAGAGTCACCACAGCCACCCTCATGCAGAGTATCATGCCCACGCGTCTGCTGGGCACCCACTGTGAGAATAGCGCATCATTGTTTATTGAGCAATTGCTATGTGCCAGGCAGGGGCTAGATGGCTCACATCAGCATTTCAGTTCCATTCCTACAACCACCCTGTAAGAGAGGTATCATCCCTGTTTCACAAATGAGGACACTGAGGCCCAGAATGATGAGGCAACTTGTCTAAGGTCCCACAGCCAGTTGGTCGCGGAGCCCAGATTTCGTAGTTCTGCCAACTATGAAGTAGATGATCTGATGCCCATTCTTAGTAACTTCATGGCAGACATTACAGATAAGGCGACCTGCCTCCGTTTCCTCATCTCTAAAATGGGGACTAATAAGAGCCCTACTTCTATGAGCATTAAAGGAGTTACTAAGTGTGAAGTGTGTAGCAAAGTACACAGCCCATAGTAAGCACTGTTTCAGGATCTTTTGACACTTTATTTGTTAAATCAATCAACCAATAGTTAATTCTCATCATAGCCCTGGGAGAGAGGGTTATAATTCCCATCTTGCAGATGAAGGAACTGAGTCTAAGAGAGGTAAAGTAAACGTGTGCACCAGCTGGACAGAATTTCCAACACAAACAGGGACAGCGAAGTTCCCATTCAGTCCCCACATTAAATAGCAACGCCTGGAAGAGCCCTCCAAGTGGTGGGTGGTTACAGATGAAGATGCAATTCCCTTTTGATCTTTGGGAAACCAGCCCAAATGCACCCGGCTCTGGAACATTCTTCCAAAGTCCTTGGGACCAAACAAGATTCACACCTTCAACCCAGGGAAAGGGAGGGGCCTCCCCACAGAAACCATTCCGCTTCCTACCTTGACCGACTCAGGGCTCGTGACGATGACGGAGGTTTTGTGGAAGACGTTGACCCGCACGACGGGTCCATACTTCTTAGCCCTGAAACCAAAGTGACCCGAAGGGAGCTGTCACCTCCCTGAGACATGAGTTTCAGCAGCCCCGCCCAGCAGGAGAAACAGCAGTGACCCATCCCAGAACGTACTCAACTCGGGTCACAAAGCGAGTGCTGCACTGGGGACCCAGAGGCCTGGGGTGAGGCTCTGCCCACTGTGCCTCAGTCTCCACATCTGCGGAACAGAGTTGCAACACCCCTCCTTTGATTACCCCAAAAGGTTGTCCTGGGAACCAAATGATACAGTATCCTTGAAAGTGCTTTGAAAAGTGTACAGTACCATCCCAAACAATGACTGTTGTCTCATCACACTCCCACCCAGTCTACAGATGAGGACACTGAGGCACAGAGAGCTTCTGATGGCTGGTCTAAGGGCCTGCAGTTGGCGAATGGCAGAACTGGGCCTCCAAGCCAGCCTCATCTGCCTCTCCACTCAGGGGAGGATCTGCTGGGGCCGGGGGCCCTGGGCCAGGGCAGGGTGGGGCTGGGAGTTTGTGTGCTGGATTGAGTGGGGGGCCTTCCCCAGGGGGACTTGGAGTAAGGGCAACGAGTGACAAGTTAGAACCCACCAATCCAAAAACACATCTTGGAGCACGCGGCCACAAACCTCGTCCTTTTTCCAAAAGTAGGGGAGGTGTCCTAGAAGGAAACTAGAAGAAATAGGAAACATTAGGCTTGCCAGCAGTCACCATTAAAAAGTGCTCCCTTCCCCACAGGACACTGTGAGTCCGTGTTACTAGGCCCACTTCACAGACAGGAGGACTGAGGCTCGGGGAGGTTATGGTGCTGGCTCGGGGTCACCAGGCAGCAAGGATGCAGACAGGATGCAAACCAGATCTGACCAGCTCCAAGGCACAGAGGTCAGGGGCTGGCACCTGGAAAGGGCTCAGAATAACGTGTGACGTGCCATCAGACAGTCACTGGATACTTACTCTGTGCTGGCACCATGCTAGCCTCACCCCCCAACCTCCCACATCAGCCAGTTAATCTGTTATTGACCATTTTAGAGGTAGCACAGCCCCGACAGGAGAGGTGAAGTCACTTGCCCACAGCTGCACAGCTGGTACCCGGAATCCCCAAAGCCCTGCTCCCTGGGGGAGGCTTTGGCCATCTGCAGTGTGATCACCGGATTGGAATCAAGCCTGGTGTGGGTCATCTTGAAGCACATTCCAAGGTGCCCATGACTTCCTGTCTCCTGTATGACTTTATTCCAATCCAGGTCACTGCAGTGTCCTGAATGGGGCATGAGAAAACTGCACTTGGAGTTGCTGGGTCATGGAACTCATATTCTCCCAGGGAAAGACGGAGAGTAAATAAACAAGTATGATGTCAGAGAGTGACAGGAGAAAAATAGAACACAGTACGGGGGAAAGGAGTGCTGGGATGGGTGTGCAGATGGCCATTTTACACAGGCAGGGTGGGACATTCCCTCTAAGAGGGTGACCTGTGAGCTGAGATCTGCAAGAAGTGAGGGATTTGGCCACCCAGGTATCGGGGGGAAGAGCACTCCAGGTGACAGCAACAGCAGGTGCAAAGGTCCTGCGGTAGGAGTGCACTTGGACAGCGAGGTGGCCAGTGTGGCAGTTGAGTGGCCTTGAGGAAAAAGTAGTACAAGATGGGGTCACCAAGGCTGGGGGCAGATTACAGAGTGTCTTGTGAGCTGCTGTCCCGACTTTTGCTTTAACCTCTGTGAGGAGGGGGCACTGCAGGGTTTTGAGCAGAGCAGAGCTGGAGTCCTTCGGGGTTTGAATACGTTGTTTTATGCTGTGCTGAGGATGACCAGAGGGGCGGAAGCAGAGCAGGTGGTCAGGAGTGTGCACTTTGAAGGCAGAGCCTGGGGACGTGCTGCAAGTTTGGGTGTGCGGCGTGAGAGAGGATGACGCCAACACTTTCGGCCTGGGCAACTGCAAGAATGGATGGAGCTGCCATCTACTGAGACGAGGAGAACGGAGAAGGCACCCAGGGCAGCAGACGCCATGGTGCCCGCCCTGCAGTTGCGCCAGGGCTCTCTCTGACTCTGCCTGGAAGGAGGGCAGGCCGGAGGTCCCAGGAGATGACCACGTGGCAGCAGCCCTGTCCCGATGACCCCAACTCCCCTCACCTCTGGTAGGGTAGCTCTGCGGCACGCGCTGTGCACCAGCCCCCAGAGTCCCCAGGACCATTGCACCTCAGTTTCCCCAGAGGGAACTTGTCTTATTGGGTTTGTTTTTTTTTACCTTCTTTCTCTATTCACTCCTCCCCCAACCTGGGATCACCCTTCAGAAACCACTTACGCTCCATTTCTTAGGGTCAGCTTCAGGGGCACGGGGCACAATCCGAGACAAGCGGATCAAGCAGATGACATCAGGGGCTCGGCTTTGGCCCTGTTAGGTTTGCGGGGAACTGTGGAGCGAGCGGGAGCCGGACGTTAACCACTTGGGTCTGGAGTGCAGGGGAGAGCTCACGGCGGAGAGGTAGTGTTTCCAGCCGCAAGGGGACGAGTGGAGACAGAGAGGGCTAAGGACTGAGCCAAGGAGACTGAGCAGGGGCAGCCGGAGGAAGGAGCTGAGCCAGCAGGGAGAAGCCAGGCAAGAGAGCAGCACGCGGGGGAGGGCTCCGCTCCGCCCAGGCTGCTGGGGGCCAGGTCAGATGAGGACCAGGGTGACCACCGGATCCAGCAACACCGAGGTTACTGGGGACCTTGACCAAAACAGGCTCAACGGAGAGGTCGAGGCCAAAGCCCAGGGGCTGGTGGGTTCGAGAGAGAGCAGGAGGGCAGGAAGTGGAGGCCCAAGGCCAGGCAGGGGTGGGGGTGGGGGTTGCTGCAGGGTGGGGGCAGCAGCTGGAGGGGAATGGGAGGGGGAAGAGAAGGGCTTTGTCAGAGCTGGGGATTCTGACGGCGTGTTATATAAAGCGAGGAATGAGGCAGGAGAGAAGGAAAGCTGATGACGGGGTGGGGTGCCAGAGGCACGGAGCAGAGGAGCAGGCTGGCCTTAGCCACCCCGGGCGGGAACAGGCGGAAGCGGAAGTGCGCGGCCCGGGCAGGCAGGTGGGCAGCCGGGGCGGTGGAGCCAGGAAGGAGATTCTCTCCTGCTGCTCCCTTTGCTAGGGCAAGTAGGAGGTAAAAATAAAAGCTGAGAGTGTGGATGGAGGGGGAGGCGATGGGGTTGAGGAGAAGCAATAAGCCGCCGGGAGCGTGGGAGAGCAAACGGGGGAGGGAAGGGAACTGTGGCCCCGGAGGGGGGGAGGGGGCCCTCCAGGTGAGTGGCCTTGAACCACCTGCAGGAAGATGGGCCATGAACATCACACACAACTGGCTGTATTTCCAGAATCATCTAGTATCCTCACTCCCGCTCCCCAAAGCTTACATTTTGGGGGAATGTCCTCAGTTTTGATGCACCTGAGTCAGGACAGTCTGGACCCCATGTCTCCTTCCATGCCTGTCTGACCACAGATCCTCCACCCTAACCACTGGAGACCACTGCCACCTGGGAAGGAAGGTGAGTGCCACCTCAAGAAGGCAGAGAGCACGGATTGGGGGAGGAATCCCCACTGCCAGGCGAGAGCACTAAAACCCATTCTTTCTGGTTCCTGCAGGGGGCGCTAGGGAGGAGCCGACACAGCAGGAAGACCAGGTGTTAGAAGTGGGCAGGTAAGGCTGAGGGACAGCAGAACACTGGACTTGTCAGCACCCCCAGCAGACAGACGCCCACCTGGCATGCCCCTGGTCATAGACTGGTATGGCAGAGAAGCCAGGGAGAGAGGGCAGGCGAGGATTCCCCACCCCGCACCTGCCCAGCCATCGGGCTTCCTGTAACACTGTCATCGGCTGGCTGGGAATCCAAGGTGTCCTGTGGGCACAGTAACCGGAGCAGAGGTCATCTGGAGAGCCCACTGTGAAGCCACCCAGAGGGATGCAGGGAGGCCACGCAATGGCCGAGGAGTGGGCTACCCACTAGGAGGACGGTGAGTGCGAGGGGCCATGACTGTGCCTTGTGCCGGAGGGATGGATGGGGTGGTGAGTGCTCTGCCAGGCACCCAAAGTCCATTGATGCAGCACCCAACATGGCCAGCGGTGGGACTCCACCATGGCTAGGAGCCACACTGCTCCTTGTTGAACGCCCCCACCCAGCAACGTGTCAAGTTGGAGTGGAACCAGCACTGCGCTGGTGTCAAACCTGAAAAATTTATTCCAAAATAAACAAAAACGGGGAGACAGTGACCTTTCGTTGCCGAGTTTACATCCATTCCCACATGACCAGGACAGTAGGGGCTGATGAGGAAGCTAAATCAGTGGCAGAGGAATAAAGAAGCTATAAATGTTTGTGTGGGATCTGAGTGTGGGGGGGTCTGAGCTTTCAGCTGTTACATGGATCGTTGCAGTAGCATGTTGTAATAAGAGCACAGAGGAGGGGCCCTCAGGGAGCAGGGGGCCTCCTGGGGCCTGCCGCAGAATAAGGAGGATGAGGGGCTGCCTCCTGCAGCCAGAGGGTTCCTTGCCTGCAAGCTGGCAAAGCCCTGGAACAGCAAGGGGCCAATGCCACTCCTGGAGACTCAGTACACAGATCTCTTGTCAACCACAGTGTTGCCAATCGTGGTTTAAAGATCCAGGCTTTTAATGCCAAAGCATTTGATTTGTGCTACAAGTTCCAGAACTTTCATTTAGTGCAGTTTTATATTTGACCACCAACCAATTTTTAATCCAAAATCTTTTTTTATATGCATTGTTCAGTTCACCTCCTTAGAATAAAAGCCCAACCATAATTATATTCATCCTCCTCCCACTCCTCCCGCCCCCCACACACCCATAGGTCACATGTAGACTCTGTGGTATAAGATTTGGGGAGAATTTATCCATAAAAAGGAAAGGAATATGGACACATGCTGTTATTACATGGATGAACCTTAAAAACATTATGCTAAGTGAAAGAAGCCAGACACAAAAGGCCACATAGTGTATGATTCAATTTATATGAGATGTCCAGAATAAGCAAATCCGTGGAGACAGAAAGCATATTAGTGGTTGCCAGGGCTGTGGAAGGTGGGGGAGATGAAGAGTGATGGCTCGTAGGTACAAGGTTTCTTTTCTGGGGTGACAAAAAAGTTCTGAAATTAGCGGTCATGGTTGCACAATGCTGTGAATAGACTAAAAACACTGAATTGTACACTTTAAAAGGATAAATTTTATGGTATGCAAGTTACATTTCAATTTTTTTAAAAGATGATTTCAGTTCTGCCTTCTCAAGACAGAGAGACGCGAGCAGGTCACTTGAGTTTATGACAAGGCCATGTAATGATGAGACTTATCAGAACAAGCACAAAACTCACTCAATTCCAAGTGTCGATGGCCAACTTGCGAACTTGAAAGGGTGATAGTGTACATAACAGAACTGGCATGAGATTTCCACCATTTAACCTTGAATCACTATTTATCGAGTGTCTACTATGCACGTACCACGTGCTGCTGTGCTAGACGTCAGGGACACAGCAGCGACTGAGACAGATGTGGGGCCCATGTGAGAGACAGACACTTAACAAGAGGTTGCACAAATAATTACCCAATTAACATTATGCTGTGAAGGAGAATTACAGTGACTTAAGGGTTTATAAAAAGAACGTAACGTATTTGGGGGAGCAGGAGGAACCTCCCTGAGGAGTTAGCATTTAAGCCAAACCTGGAAGGCTGGGGTTAGAACCACCCAGGCAGAGTGGAAGGCAGAGCTACTAAGTAAGGTGGGAGAGGACACTGGGAGGGCAGACTGCCGGCAGGGAGAACAGTGTCCTCCCTATGTCACCAGCCAGCCACAGAGCTCTTTCCTGAACCCATCAGAGATTCAGGTTGCTAAAGCCAGTACATCTAGCTTGTGCTGGAGATAGGTGCCTTCCAGAAGGTTCATGTCCTGAGATTTTAAAAAGTGTGTCTAATACCATTGTTCATTCATTCATTCAACAAATATTTATTGAGCATCTGCAACATGCCAAGCACTGGGGATACACAAACGAACACACAGCATCCCTGCCCTCCCGGGGCTCACATTCTAAAAGGGGAGACAGACAGTCAACAGGTGAACAGACAGTCAACAGGTGGAAAGAAGGTAACTTCAGAGGTGATGGCCTCATAAGGAGTTTGGGGCTGAGTGGGCTTTACACAGGGTGGTCCAGGAAGACCCGTTTGAGATGAGCAGAAGAAGAAGCCCACCATGCCCAGGCTGGAGAAAAGGGGAACAGGAAGACCCTGGGGGAGGGAAGCTGCTGAGGGGTAGGGAGTAGAAAGACTGGGACTGCAGAGAGGAAAACAAGAGGGAAGAGAACAGCACAGAGTGGGTTCTGAGAGCTCAGCAGGGGCCCTGCTGGCCATGCAGCGGACTTGATTTAGAACCGGATTTAGTTCTAAAGTGACAGGAAGCCCTCGAAGCAGGGAAATGACACATCTAATTTAAGTTTCACAAAGCTAAGCTTCTCGTGGGGGTGGGGGTAAGTTGGGTGGGGGTGGGGGCCAAGAATGGAATGGAATCACTAAGCAGAAGACAAATGGGATGTCCCAGGACGGAAATACAAAAAAGGGAGTAAGACCAAAGTACAGTGTGCTCTAATCCAGGTAGACCCTGTCCAAGTCCCAAATTTACCAGCATCCACTTTGGAGCCAGGCTGACCTGGGTTTAAATCTAGGCTTACCAAACGCGTGACCTTGGGCAGGTGACTTCGCCTCTGCAAGCCTCAGTCTCCTCGTCTGAACGATGGGGTAACAATAGCGCCTACCTGGCAGGGTTGTCGCTGCCAGCACGTTTGTGGGGCCCAGCCGAGCGCGGTGGGCGCCCAATAGCTGCTGCGGCTGTGAGTAATTTGTTACTAAGAATAGTTAGCGCCCCTCTCCCGGTCGCCGTCTCCAAGGGCCCCGCGCAAAAGGCAAGGCCTGACCCCCGGCCTCGACGCCGGCTTAGACGCGGCCCCTCGACCCCCCGTTCGAGCGCCCCAGCCAGGCCCCGCCCCCACCCCCCTGCTCACCTGGGCCGCGGCGGCCCGGGGATGTGCTCGTAGCGGCTGCGAGCGCGGTGCACGAAGGTGCAGCAGAGGCCGAAGGCGAGCAGGACGGCGCTGCCGAGCAGCAGTAGCCCGGGGCTCATGGCTCCGGGGCAGGCGAGGCCGGGGTCGGGGCCGGGCGCCGAGGGGGCCGGGAGGCCGCGAGCCGACTCAGCTGTCAGCGCCGCGCGCCGCCTCGGCCCCAGGCCCGGCGCGACCCAGCACCGCCCCCGCCCGCTCGGCTCCACCCCCGCCGGTTCCGACCCCGCCCAGGGCGCTCCGTCCCCGCCAACCACGTCTCCGCCTCCAGCTCCAGCTCTCAGGGCCCGCCCACGATCCGCCCCGCCCCCTAAAGCTCCGCCCCCCTCAACACCGCCCAGGCCCATACACTGCCCAGAGCATGTAGTCTCCACCAATCACAACTCCGCTTCTGGCTCCGCCCCCGCCTCCTTCAGGTTCAAGCTCCGCCCCAACAGCAACTCCGCCCACAACGCGTTGTCCCTGGCAACACCGATTCCTCCGCACACTGTCCCTGCTCAACACCGATTCCAGGCGGCGGCGCGAAGTCCTGCGAACTGGCTCCGCCCTCTCTGGCGACTCCAAATAACGGCATCTCTCCGCGCGCGGCCCTAGGCCCCTTCTTTTCTCCCTAAAACATTCCTGGAGACCACCATCCCAGCCTCCAAATCCCCGCATCACACCGACTGTTCCCAAACCTCTCCTTGGAACCCCAGGCTCTCAAAGTTGGTTTCTTCAAGTGTCTTCGGGGCGCCTCCCCTGCCCGCCCGTCCACGCCGAGCTCCCGCGGTGCCCACGGGTGGTGACCAGGACCCGGCGGGAGGCGGGGGCCCGTGCCTGCGACTGAGGGGCGCACAGCTGGACCCGAGGCTCCTCCAGGGTCTCGGCGCCTCCGGCACCTCCCACCCAAGGGACGCCCGTCCGTGGCGCTGGCCCGGTCCGCAGTGGACACCTGGTACGCAGGGCCGCCCGCGAGGGGAGGCGGGCGACGTGCGCAGGTTGGCCGAAAGATGTGTCAGAAATAGTAGCCGAGGCTTTCCTCCCTGGTGCGACCCGCTGCTCCTTTCCCGTCCCGGTAGGACGGAGAGGCCTACTCTGGGCCCCCGGAGTGAAGGCAGCGGACGGGAGGGCCAGGCGTGTCCGCTCCTAGTCCGGATAAAGACCCCCGTGCTGGGCAGGGGCGCCCAGCAGGTTAGGTGCTGCGGGGCCCCCACGCGTGGCCCGGTCCTGGACAGGTCCGGGGGTTGGAACACGGAGACCTGCGGATCCCCTTCCTATGTACGGCCAAGGACAGCCCGGCCGGGGACAGGGGTGCGTGCGCTGCGGGGTGGCGGGAGGGCCAAACTTTAAGAACTGCGCCCCTCACGGAGGAGGCAGGATTTCTGCCCCGGGGCCACTGCAGCCTGGACTGGCCGGGCAGCCAGGTGTCCGTCGCCGGGCGGGCACCCGGGCCGGCCTGCGGGTTGGACTCGGGGACGTCGGCTTGCCACCGCGCCCCCACGTGGCGGCGGGAAGCAGCGGCAGGCGCGCGCCAGGGCCTCAGGCTGGCCCAGCCGGGCGAGGATGAGCTCAGTTCCCCCGCACTCGTGCGCTGTGAAAGCTGCAGGGTTTGGGGGCAATTTGGAGGGAGGATGAGGCTGCAAGAAGGATGGGGTGGACTTCCTGCATGCTGGCAAGTAAGTCGGGGTAGTCAGCTAGGAAAGGAATGTGACATGGCCATGTTTAGTTTCCAGTTAGTGCAACGGCTCCCAGAGTTTACAAAACGTATCTGCTGTGCGGTAAGGACATCCTCTTGCCTCTTCTCTTTGGACCCGGAGCAGTGGTTCCTTGAAGTCAAGGCCAGATCCTGAACAGCTCTAGGCACAGCCTGGGGCGCCACATGGGGCGGGCATAGAGCAGCATCAGGTACAACTGTCAGCATGAGCCTGTCCAACCAGGGTGGAGGGGGGAGTTGGCATTAATATTCCCCAGGACATCCGGCAACACCAGTGACCTCTGGCTCGACATATTTCTGTCCACAGAACAGCCCGTGTCCCCGAGTGGGCAAGCCCACGGTCTCCCCTCCTCCTGGGCACAGCTGTCCCATCACCACTGCATTCGATGCCCCTCTCCTGTGGTGAGGTAGGGAACTTCGGGCTGCCAACCCAGGCCCCAGGCCTTTCCCTGGGCAGGCAGCATGGCCAGCCACCAGCAGAGGGCACTACCTGGAAGGGCACTGCCAGCCACTGGGCCCTCCATGGGAAGGTCTAGACTCAGCTATCCAGCATGGTAGCTGCTGGCCACAGGTGGCTATTGAGCACTCGAAATGGGGCGAGTCCAAATTGAGATGTGCTGTGTGTGTAAGATACACACCAGATTTTGTAGATTTAATACAAAAAATTGTAAAAAAAAAAAAAGTCATTCATATTTGTATATGGATTACCTGTTAAAATGATACTTTGAATATGTTGTGCTAAATAAAATATACTATTAAAATTAATTTCACTTTTTTTTTTTTTACTTTTTTAACATGGCTTCTAGAAAATTTTAAATTACCCATGTGGCTCATATTGTGTTTTTAGTGGGTAGCACTAATGTGGACAATGACTCTCAGAGTATGGCTGCTAGGCCAACAGCATTAGCATCACCCTGGAACTTGCTAGAACTGGAAATTCTCAGCTCCAACAAGACTTACTGAGTCAAAACCTCTGAGAGATAGGACCTAGCAACCTGTGTTTTAAGCAGCCCTGCAGAACTTGATTCTGCTCAAGTCTGAAAACCACCAAGGTAGCTGACACCTAGGAGGACTTGCTGGGGAGATGCAGGCACAGGGGCTGGTTCTGAAGCAGCTGCCCTCACTTGGCTGGCCTGGCAGGGCAGAAGTCCAGTAGCCTGGGAGAGGAGAAGGTCAGGCTTGGGAGGGTGGCCCTCTGTTCCTCGCTGCTTCTAAAGATCTGTTACATAGCCCCTAGCGATCTGTCCCCTCATCTGGAAAAGAGAGACAGTGATGATGAGGGTGCCTCATGGAGCCACTGTCAGGATTAAATGAGCCAACACACCTGAGGCACCTGGCATGTAGTAAGTGCTCAATAAAAGCTAGTTCTTAGCAGGGGAGGAGCAGAGAGGACAGATGCCCCCACAAGAAGACTTGGGTTCTACATGTTAGTGTGAAGGGTCTTTCTCCTCCTATTTTGAGGATTTCTTCCCATGTCAGTCTGATGCTGCTCCCTCCACATGGCATGCCCCTCCCCACTCTGGCCTGGACAGTTGGCAGCTGCCAGCATGGACACCACCAGCCTGGCATTGAGTTTTTTGTTCAGGAAGCAGCCTGGAACGTGCTGAGCACATCTGCGATGTCACCTCATTTTTCATCTAATAATCCTGCTGACTACCTCTGTTTTCCAGTGAGGCTCAGAGAGGAAAGCGACTGGCCCAAGGTCACACAACCAGGACTGGAACCTGGTCTCCAGCTTCCTTGAACTTTCCAAACATTTGCAAGGTGTAAACACACGGGTACCTTGAGGAGCTGGAGGCTGCCCACTAGTGTGCTTGGCTACAGCCACTGATTGGGGATATGGGAGCTGTCGTCAGGGGAGAAGGGTGGCCACCCATGGCCCTGACCCAGCTGGGACTTGCCAGAGGGACACAGGTGAACAAGGAACAAGAAAGGCTCAGTCAGGGCCTGGGGCCATCCCTGCAGCACAGGGTCCCCAGGTCCACAACTAAGCTGTGTGACCTCGGGCAGAGGCAGCCCCTCTCTGGGCATCTGACCCAGGCTGCTACCTGGGGACTGGATTAGAGGGGGTCAGGCTGGCAGGGAAGATGGGGAGGCTTGACCCCATCTGCAGAGGCTCTGGAGGACTCTAAGACAGGACTGAAGTCCCTGGGGACAGAGTCATTTGTGAATGCTGTCTCAGTGGCTAGCCACAGGTGGGGAAATAAAAGGAGCAGCAGACAGGAAGCCAGCTCTGCCTGTCCCTGAACTTGGGAGGGGGCATTCAATGCCTTCAAGGCTGCACAACAGAAAGGCCCACAGCTGGGGCTCCAGAGCTGGACTGCTTGGGTTCAAATTCAAATTTTGGTTGTGTGACATTTGGCAGTGACACCGTCCCTGAAACTCAGCTTCCACATCTGTAAAATGGGGAGACGAGTTGAATCGTAGCCCCTGGCTCATGTTGTTATATGATAGCGTAAGGACGAAGTGAGTGACTGGCATATGAGACTGGGAGCAGTGCCTGGTGCACAGTGCCCGGCAGAGGCCCCGTCCACCCTTTTTACCACTTAAGAATGGTAGTAGGCCTCCTTCCCAGGAGTCCAGCCACCACCCAAACCTTGTTTGGGGCCTGAGAGGTGATGAGTTGGGGAGTGGGAAGGGAGCTCCCTCTGCCAACCTTCCATCCCTCTCTGGACAGAATAGCTGCTGGGACCCAGCAGGCAGGGCCCTGGCACCACCATGTTTGGAAGGCCTCGAGGACCACCATGCCTTCCCTGGGCTCCAGTCTCAGCTTGGTCCCATCTGGTGACCTCTCCCTGGGCTCATTTCTCCATCTGCATGGTCAAGAGTTTGGCCTGGACAGTTACCAAGGACCCTCCTAGCTCCTAACACTACTCAGAATTTCCCTGCATCCTAGGAAATGTCCACTCAACCACCACTGGGCAGCCGGAGGCTTGAGAAGAACAGGAAGCCACTGCCTTGCAGCCAGGCTGGCACCCCACACAGGGCCCTGGCATGCCCCTGGGCTAAGCCATCATGGCTCTCTGTGGGCACAGTAGCACTGGGGCAGAGGAGTGCAGAAGCCGGGGTGCAGGGGGCTCTAGAGCTGGGCTGCTTGTGTCCAAGTTTGGCTTCCCCCATCCCTGGATGGGTGCCCTCAGCTAGAAAACTTAACCTCTGCGCCCTCGCTTCCCCCCTCTGTAACAGCAGAAGAAGAGGGCTGTGCTGAGGGAAGGTGACCTCAAGCTTTCTCCTGCCGCCTATGCTACATGTGGCTCCACTGAGCAGCTGGGAGAACCTGCTAGACTTGAGCCTGCACCATCTGCCTGCCTGGCGCACCACCCGGTGCCAGCTCAACTCCCAGAACTCGGCACAGGAATCACCCCCCAACGCATAGTTGGGTCTGTGTGCCTCACTCGAACCACTTACACCCCTGACATGGGCCATATCCTGTCCTCACTGCCTAGTGACTCATCTGCTTACCACCCCTGCCCCTCCCAGAGGCTGAGCCCAGTTGTACTTAACACCCCTCCACAGGCCTGGCGCAGAGCAGGGCTGAGGACTTCAGTGAGCAAAGGGACCTCTGCCTGGGAAGCAGGAGGGAGCTGCAGGCCCAGCCCCCAGCCCCACCCCAGCTCCCAGGCGGGCGCAGGGCAGAGAGAAGAGGCGGGAGGGTGGTTTGTGGACAGCCATGTTGTTGGCACAGCCTGGGCGACACAGCATCGGCGGCTGCCCTGGACCCACAGCCTGGTCGGCCCGAGGTGGGAATCAGAGGGTCCCCGGGGTTCCACTGAGCAGTGTTGGGATGGGGATGACAGAGGTGGCCCCATGGTCCCAACAGGGGAGCCAGGGTGGAAGCCCTACCCAGCCAGTGTGGGGGCTCCTATCCTGGGAGCCTCAGGGTCCCAGGGCACCCACATGGCCTGGCACGATGGTGAGGTCCGAGATGACCAGAAGCTCCGCCAGCACGCAGCCTCAGAGGTCATCCAATCCCTCCCAGACAGGTGCTGGCTTCCTCCCAGGCAACCTGACCCTCCCTTGGGCAGCTATGACCCCACAGGTCACCATGGACCCACGGGTCAGAGGAGTTTTTCTTTGCTCCACTGAATGCTTTCCTGTTCTCTCCAGCACCTCTGCCTGCAGGGCCACCAGTCCACACTGCCTGGGCCACCTTCCTCAGGCCATGCTCCAGATTGTCTGGCACCTCCCACTCGGCTGTGGGCAGGACAAGCCTGGTCTCCTCCCTCAGTCTGCTGGCTGTGCCTCTGTTAACTTAGCCAGGGGCCATGTCTGCCCTTGAAGGGTGGCTGCCCTGAGTCCTCAGGGTCTGCGGGGACCAGACGTGTTCCTGCTGTGCAGCCAGTCCCCCAGTGCGCCCTGCAGCCCCGGGAGAACACGGGGCAGTAGGGCCCTGCCAGGCTCCTCAGGACGCAGGCTGGCCTGGCAGGGCAGCGACCTGTGGCCTACAGGTCGGGGTCCTCGTGGCTGCACACGACGCCGGCGTCCTCGTCGTGGCCGCAGTTGTGCGTGCCCACGCCGGCGTGCGTGCACTCCAGCAGGCTGCGCTCGCCGCCCGCGCAGCGCACGTCGTCCAGCAGGATGGGCAGCGCGCGGCCCTCGCCGAACTCGGCGCGCTTGCTGGCCCGCACGGCGTGCGCGAAGCCCAGCTGGCGACACACGACGGCCGCAGCCTTGGCGTCCCATGAGTCGTCGCACACGGTGCCCCAGCGTCCGCCCGCGAACACTTCCACGCGCCCGCGGCCGGAACCCAGCCCCGCGGGCCGCACCAGGCGCACTGCACCGTTCGAGGGCGCCGGGCCTGCCGTGCTCGGCCGCCCCCGCCGCCGCCCGCCGCCCCTCCGGCCGCCTGGCCGCCGGGTAGGCCGTGCTGGGCGCGGGGTGGGTTTGCGTGGGGCCGCTGTGGGGCGACTGCGGCGGGGCGCCTGGGTGGGCACGCGCGCGGTGGGCCGCGGGGTGCTCTCCGTCCTCCGGATGAACTCTGTGCAGAGGAAGAGCCTGCTGTCAGAGGGGCCCGCCGCCCCGTGCCACCCTCCAGCCTGTTCGGGGGAACGCAGGCCCCAGGGAAAGATGTCCTTGACCTGCTCTCCACTCAAACCCTGAAGATGGGATGCCACTTGGGGTCCCAGCAGTGCCTCCCAGGTCACCCTGACCCCACAGGATGCCAGCCTGGGGCTGGGTGCTGGGTGCTTCTTCAGTCATTCAGCAAACACTCCTGGCAGCTGCTTTGCACCCTCCAAACCTGCCCTCCCAGCATGCTCCAGGTCGGTGGGGGAGACAGACCCTGACACTAAACTCAGGACCACAGTGGAAGGGAAGGAGTGTCTGGAAGGGCTTCCAGGAGCAGGTCACCCTTTCTGCTCCCAGTTTTAAGGGTGAGGAAACTGAGGCCTAGAGACGGGTAAAACTGCTGAGGGTCTAAGGCGGTCAGCGACCAGCAGGACAGGAGCTGTACCCACACAGGGACTCTGGTCAGTGACCAGCAGGATGGGAGCCGTACCCATGCAGGGACCCTGGTCAGTGACCAGCAGGACGGGAGCCGTACCCACACAGGGACCCTGGTCAGGGTGAGTCTCCGTACTCCCAGCTCCCAAGGCTGCTAGCCCTGCCACAGATCCCAGCAGGACAGATGGGAGCTCCCTGGGTGTGTGGCTGGGGACCACATGGCCCAGAGCTGAAGGGGAGGGAGCGCAGGACAGGGCTGGGGCACAGCAGGTGCTGGGAGCTGACGCAGGTGACTCCCTCTGTCCCTGCAAGGTGTGAGGGCACGCTTGGCCCAGGTCAGCCACAGGGATACACCTCACTCTGCGTCAGACCCTGTGCTGTGTCCAGCCCAACCCCATGCAGGGCAGTGCCACGTACTGGGCACCGCCCTGCGTGCCGTCCCTCAGGGGTGACATCCCCCAGACTACATGCTTACTGTGGGGGGGATCCCAGGCCATTGCCCTCACACCTTTAATCCCCCTACCCCAGCCAGTCCCACTCTGAAAACCACTGAGATGGGGGCCAAGAAGGGGCTTCTCAGTACAGGCCGCCGTAAGCAGCACAGGGAGCACCGAGACGCGCACCCGTGCCACCCACAGGAAAGGTAGCCTGCTCCTCCAGCTTCCCTGCTTCTCCTCTTCTCCCCTGGCTCTTGCTGCCCCGTCTGCCTGCACTGCCCTCCCCCCGAACCCTCCACGCGCCCCAACACCCCGCCCCTCTTCTTCCCAGGCTCCAGGAACCCCAAGCCCCACCACAGACTCCACTGCTCTAGGTGGGTTCCACGGGACCCAGCACACACTTCTGTCACAGGGCCTGGGATCCTAAATGACTTCTCTGTCTGTCCCAGCCAGGGCAGGGCCTGGTCTCACTTCTCCCTGTGGCCCCAGCATCCAGCCCGGTGCTGGTAACTAACAAAAGCGCCAGAAACTGCTGAATGAGCGAATGCAAAACGCGCCAAGCCCCGAAAGCAGCTGCGGCCAGAACTAACTTCCAAAAACACCGAGCTCATCCCTTCCCCCAGCCTGCCACTACCCTGGCACCCCTTCCTCGGGGCTGGGCACCCCCACCCTCCCAGGTGCCTGCCCCCTGCCTTCCTGCCCTATCTACCCCGCTGGACACACCCAGCCCACCAGCCGGCCACATGTGGGGCACACATGCGGGGCACATACGGTCTGCTGAAGCACTTCCTCTGGCCTACAGAGCGGTGTTTAAAATTTTGAACTAGTTGCCAACGTTTCGAATTTGGAGACATGTAACAAGCTGAGAAGGCAAGGAGCACCGCTGTCCCGCTCAGCAAGGCCCAGGTATGCGGGGCAGGAACGAAGGACGGTTCCTGCTCCTCTTAAGAACCGAAGATCCAGCAACACCGCGTCCTTGTTCCCACCTAACGCGGGCCCAGTGGAACAGCCCGTCCTCCGGGCATGCCCTTCCCCTTGGCCCCAGACGTCCTGGGCAGTCATCTGTGGCCTCCTGGCCCCTCTCCGCCTCCCTCCTCACCAAGCTTGTCCAAGCGGAGCCATCTCACGGAAGGCCCAGCCCAAACGCCACGCCCTCCCCTCAAGTAACTCTTGTCAATCTCCCTTGCTCACACACAGATGTGTCGTCTCTCTCTGTCCTTCCCGAGAACTCTGAGCACACCTTGCCTGGCACCAGCTATTGCCCCCCTTGCTCTGCTCCTTCTGAGGCCTGCAGCCCCTTGGGGCCACCCACCCACGGCCTGGCACCTAGTTTAAGGAGTTGTGGCCAGTCAAGCAGGACCCACTTGAGTTAAAGTTCCACCGCTTCAACACGGCGTCTAATGTGTGCCAGGCAAGTGCTGGGCACGGGGCGGGCATCCGGCTGGAGGGGCAGCAGGTGTGAGCTGCAGGAGTCCTTCCCCCCCCCGCAGTGTCCCCATTGGTGGGCACTTACTTTCTTTGGGCACAAAGTGGACCAGGCGGCTCCTCACCTTCACCTGAGCAGGATGGATCTGACACTTGCCAGGTGGCGCCCGTCTGCCAAGGACATACAGGAGGTCATGAGTCCCACCTTGGGAGCCCGCCCTGAGTGTGTCTCCCTGGCATCTGCCTTCCCCTGCAGCGAGGGAGGAGAGGGGTCAGGCAGGTGCGGACGGGAACAATAGCTACAAGTAGCCGTTTAGTGATCACCTATCGTGTGGCCTGTGGCATCTCCCATGTCCCAGGACTCTAAGAGCCCAACCCCAGGACACGAACCCCCGTAACAGCCCGCCGGGTGCCCGTTTACCCCCTGCCTGAACGGCACCGGGGCTTCCTCGTGCCTGAGCCGCTTCTCATTCAGAGCACGGCCCCCGTCCTCGGGTGCGATCGACGCCAGGCCCTCTCCTGCCCCAGCCTGCCCGTCTGACTCCTGTCAGTGCAGCCCGGTTCTGCCCCTGCCTCGCCCCCCGCCCCTCACAGCCTTTGAGGAGGGTCTCTCTGCCCCTCCGGTTGCTGGATTTCTGCCGATGCTGAGCCCGGGAAAGTCCTCTGCCTGGAGGGCCAGGGAAAGGTCGAGTCCACCTAAAGGATGAGGCGGGGGCTGGGGGCAGAGCCGAGGGACCGGGGCCTTGGCGTGGGTTTGCGAGAGCCGGGACAGAAAGGAGTCTGAGAAGGGTGCCAGGGCAACGAATTGGGTCTCCTGTGACATCTCTGAGGGGCACAAGGAGGGAGTGGAATTCCATTTTAATTAGTTTTTGGCTGTGGATCTGTGGGTCTTTGAAGGGGACCGACACTATTCCGGGACTGACCCACGTGGGCCCACGACTTCAATAGGGCTCCAGTAGGGTTCTGCCAGCCCGAGGTGGGAAGCCCAAGGGTGAAGCAGCCACGTGACATGGAGCAGCCTCCCAACATGCTTGGCAGAGGAGGGAAGCCAAGGAGGGACGCAGCCTTTGTCCCCAGAGGCTGCGGAAACACAAGCAGGCACACACACTTCTCAACGCTGAGTTTTCCGCGTGCTCTGACCGCCAGGGAACATCCACACACTTCAGACAGGCCTGGCAGGGGTTTTGTTCCTTTAGGAAATTATGTAAAAAAATCTTTGTTATGCAAAAGGGCAGGCGATACACCCCAAAATGCAGTAGGAGTTCTGTGTGGGCAGTCATGGATGGCCCAACTCCGCCCCCCACTCCGTTTCTTCACTTTCCAGACTCCTGTGACAGGGCTTTGACGCAGTCTGTGGGTGCAAAGGGGTACGCTGGGTCCAAAAGAGAAAAATGAAAGGGAGGCGAAGGGTTGGGGTGGGAGGCAGGGTCCAGCCTACTTCTGGCTCCTTCCAACCACAAGACCTCCCGCAGAACTCCTTAAGCCTCTACAACAGTGGTCCCCAACCTTTTTGGCACCAGGGACCGTCTGCGGTTGGGTCCCTAACCGGTACTGGTCCGTGGCCCATGGGTTGGGGACACAGCTCTACAACGTGGGACAATGAGCCACAAGGGAAGGGTGCTGCAAAGACCAAAGGAGAGGATGGGTCTAAGGCAACATGTGGCAGGAATTGGGCACTCAATGTATGTGGTATTTCCTTAGAGAAGCATTCTTTTCTAAAAATTGGAAATAACCTAAAATTCCAAGGAATGGATAGACAATTATGGCAGAGTGACTCAGGAGAAAATCACACAACCATTAGGAACAGCCCGTTTGAGGGTGATGTTGCAACATGGAAACGTTTATACAAAATAGGGATAAATAAACGCAGAACACCAAGTTTCCCCGGGCTCCAAACGCGACATAGATGAAGATGGATGGGATCTCGGGGAAGCAGGAAGGACGGATGAAAGGGGGAAGTAATTATGTCTTTTTGAGGAAAAGTGATGTCAATTAATATGTTTGTGCTCTAAAAATAATGTGTAAACATGGAAAGTCTGGGAAGCTGTCACAGACCAGAGGACACTAAGGAGACATGGTGACTAAATGTTTTGTGGGATCCTGGAACAGAAAAAGGACATTAGGGGACAACTAGAAAAATCCTTAAAAAAAGAGTGTGGTATTTAATTAATAGTGAGGTACCGATATTAGCTGATGAGTTTGGCAAGTGTACTGTGACCATGTAAGATGTTAATAATAGGGGACATGGGGGGAGGGGTACAAGGGGAACTCTACTATCTTTGCAACTTATCTGCAAATCTAACACTACTCTAAAATTTGTTAAGTGCAATAATATTTCAGGATTTTTCCAAACCTAGTGTGTCTCAAAGTTTAGGGTAACTAAACACATTGGGGGGTGTCCCAGGGTCTGCCGACCACGACCAGATTGTTGGAGTGCGACCTGGGCTTTGTGTGGGAGGGCAGCACCGGCTGTCGCACACTGGCGTGCTGAGCAGGAGTGCAGCTGGAGGGAAAGCCCGCAGAGAAGCGAAAGTCTAAGGGCTGAGAAGCTGCGTAAGAAAGACGATCACTTGTTCATCCATCAAACATCCCTGTGTCTCTGCTCTGTGCCACTCCTGGTGCGGGGGTGACTTCGCAGAGGTGAAGAGATATGGCCTTGGCCTGGAGACTCCCAGAGCAGCTGGGAGACAGCTGTGTAGCCCGGAGGTTACAAATCTGGGTTATGAGAGCTGAACAAGGGACAGACGGGGCCTGGAGAAGACAGTGGGCTGGGGAAGGAGCTTGAGGCCGTGAGGCCAGGGGCCCAGGGGCTAGGGCAGGCCTCCCCGGCACGACTTCCTATCTTTGCGCTCACTTCCGCCCTGTAACACAGGCAGCTGAGAAGTCGATGGGTTACACACGGAAGGAGTCAGAACATCGCCTGGCACAGAGTTAGTGGCCTTACACCCAGAGTGGAGATGGAGACAGAGTGGGGAGCCCCAGTGTGTTCTAGCCAGCACCCGATGGTGGTCCCCCCGGGCAGGTGCAGGACGCGGGGACACACAGGGCTCAGGGTGTCTGGGAGGCACCTCAGAGGCCAGTTGGGGGTTGGGGTGCAGGGAGAGGTTGGACGCAGGGAGCAGGGCCAGGCAAGAAAGCTGAGTCGAGCCTCCACTCAGCACTCAGCGGCCCCAGTTGGTGGCTTCTGCTCTGTCCTGTCTGCAAAGCGCTGTCTGTCTGCGTGCACTCAGAGGCACGCAGAGGTGGCTCTGAATACTGCACCTGCCCCTCACCAGTGGTGCAAGCTTGGCTACTCACTTCCCCTCTCTGGGCCTCACTTTTTTCGTCTGAAAAATGGGGATATTAATAATACCTGCCTTAGGGAGAGGTAGAGGGGAAATGAGGTAATGGAGGTGTCCTGGCAGACAACAGGAGCTCAGCCAACGTCCCGGACAGACAGGACTCACCTGGAGGGGTCGATCACTTTGTAGACGACTCCACGTGCAGCTGTGGCACTCGGCACACCGGTAGACATGAAGTACAGCTCCCCTGTGGAAATGAACGAGGCAACGAATGAGAACACTGCCTGGGATACCGTCCCGGCCAGCCCCGCCTCAGCCCCCAGCTGCCCTGAGGATCGGAAATCAACCCCCCTCGGCCAACCACAGGTGAGGGTTCCAGGTCCGCCTAGCTGTCAGCCGCCAGGACTGGAAATGAGGCTGGGAGAGGCGTCCAGACATGCCCAAGGGGCTCTGGAGCGTGGGATCCTGGGTGTCCATTGCTCTGCCTGGACCCACCCAGGCTCTGACGTCCAATCTTGCCTCCTTCCTGGTGACCCAGCCCACCCGGGTCCCTGCCCGGGTTTCATGCCCAGCACCACACACCTCTGGGCACAAATGAGGGTCCACAGCCCAGCTCCCCCGCCAACTACTTTCTGGGTGACCTGCAGGCACACACGACCCTCTGAGCCTCAGCTTCCTCATCTTTAAAATGGGCACATCCCATGGGGCTGTTACGAGGATTAAAAGAGCACAGAGTAAGTGCTCAGTATTAGCTACTATTGCTGTTGTCAGGCAGGGCAGAAAGTACATATGGTGGGGAGTGTGACTCCAGCCTGTCCACCCAGCTGCATGATCTCTAGCGGCTCTGCGACAGCCCCACTCTGAGCTTCAGTTTCTCCACCTCTCAGAGCTGCGGTGAAAATGTAATGATCAGAGTTATAACAACATCACCTGGTGCCGCGACATTCTCAGGAAATGTTCGAGGACGCTATCGGGAATGGTAGTTTTCCCTGCTCTTCTCATCCCAATCCTATCCCAGACCCCCGCTGCCAGAGACACCTATGTCCAGAAAATAGACTTCATTATGCCCATGTTACAGATGAGAAAACAGAGGCTCAGAGAGGTCAAGTGGCTCGTCCAAAGTCACACAGCAGTGAATGGTTAAGCCAGGCCCAGAACTGAGGAAAGTCTGCTGCCCAACCCCACACCACTATAGGATGCATGTGGCTGGGAGCCCAGACACAGCCACAGTGGCTCAACACGAGGACACAGCCATGCAAATTCCTCTATCCTTGCAAAAGGATAGCAGAGAGCCACCCCAGGGCTGGGGACAGGGTGGACATGCGGGATCCCCCAAAGAGGCTAAAATAGACAACTTGGTAAGTGCTTAGAGGAAAGCATGTCCCTGGGGACAGGGGCAGTCAGGGAGGGCTGCATAGGGGTGGCGTCAGAATTCCCAGGGAACCCAGGGAATTCCGCAAAGGGAAGACACTTAGGGGGCAACTAGTGTGACTGGGGTAGACCCAGCTGTGACAGGGCTGGGGGATGAGGAGAGCAGATGCTGAGTGGTCAGTGACCCCTGACCCCCGCAGGAGCACGAGCCCCACTAGGAAGGTGGGGGAGGGGTATAGGCCCACACGGTGCTGATGCAAGCTGGGGGAGTCAGAGTAACCTGGCGACATGGCCCTACGGAGAGTCGATAGGCACAGCCCCAGATTTGCCGTGCCACCTTGGGCCATCACTTCCCTCTCTGGGCATCTTTCTGGAGCAAGGCCCTGGGAGCAGGGCGGTCTCCCCTCTGGCCATGCAGCCCTCACACCTTGGAGGAGCTCCCCGTGTGTACTGCTCCCTTGGTCTGGAGCACCCTCTCCATCCTCCAACCAACGTTAAGGCCCTGCTCCGGGAGGCTTCCAGGAGCCAGGCTGGGCAGTGTCCCACCCCATAACTGGGTGTAAATAGTCGGCCTAGTTTCCCCATCTGTAAAGTAACAGGATTGGACCAAGCAGACTCCAAGCCGCCCGATCTGCTGGGAGCTGTGGCCTCCAACCCCGTGCACACACAGGGAGCCCCCACTAGCCTAGCCTGCCCAAGCTGTCCTCTTGGTCTCTGTGGTGTGGACGGTCCCTGGAACACACTAGGCCAGCAGAGATCCTTGTTTTGGAACTTGCAAGTGTCAGAAACACAACTAGAGAGGCGGCAGCTGGAGCCGGGAGCAGGGAAAGGTTTGTTTGTGTTGGTGCCCAGTGCTCTGTGCCTTCCAGGGGCCACCACGGGAGCTTTCCCTGGGGGCTGTCTCACAGGTGCCTCCTCCTGGTTTTCCAGACTCCGTGTCACTCAGAGGGCTGAGGAACTGCACTTCCCTTCCAGGCCCTGCATCTGTTCCGCCCCCTTCTTCCAAAACACGTTAACCTCCTACTGACCAAAAGAAAGGGCCCTGTGGGCTTGGGGATGGCAGTGGGGGCTGGGGCTGCCCCTTTGGAAATTCAGATTCTGTGGTTCAACAAAGGTTTCCCAGACTCAGCCCAGGGGGCTCTGGGCACGGGGCCCTGCAGGGAATACCCCTCCAAAGGCCAGGGTGGGTGTTGCCTAGCAACCCCAACAAGCATCCCTCAGGGCCCACTGGGGGCCCCTCGGCTTTTGTTTGATGACAATCCCAGGACTGAGGACAAAGGCAGGAGGCTGAGGCTGGAGCAGGATCCAGGCTCCCTGGCCCCTCTTCTTCTCCCCTCCCTCTCTGTCCCTTCTCTCTGTCCCTTGCACTGAAAACACCAGTGCCTGAATGCGGGACCCACTAACCAGCAAGAAGGCTGTGTCCACTCACTTTGAAAAATAATGTGGCTTCATTTAATGCCCCAAACACTTTTGCCATCTGGAACCCAGGGACAGTGGAGATCTCTGGGCAGGCTCTCTTCCCCCACCTGCCTGCATTTCCAGCATTCCAGATCCTTCCTGGTCCAGCTGACTGCTATAGACTCTTGCCCATGTTATTGCTCTAACCATCACAGCAAGCCTGCCCAGGGGAGGGGGCAAGGGAGGGTCACTGCTCCCATTTCCCAGATAAGGAAATGGAAGCTCAGAGAGGTGAAGACTTGCCCACGGATGCACAAGCAAGGCCTCCAGCCCACTAAACACCTCCCTCCCCTGCTTGCAGGTAATTTCAGGCCTGAAGCTCCACCCCTCGCATCAGAGGCCAGAAGGACCCACAGGTGGGGGTCCAGCCCCCGGCATGGGCAGCCCAGATGGAGAAGTCTCAGTAGTGCTCACCGGCCTCGTCCTCTGCGAAGGAGATGATGTGTGGGTAGTAATTGTTGATGAGGCCTGGGAACAAGCAGGTCTGGCCACGGCCCATGCAGATCTCACTGTATTGCCACTGGCCTGTGCCCGTTTTCTCTCGGAGGGACATCAGACGCCTGCAAAGGAAGATGAGCTGTGAGGTCGTGACTGGCCTGCAGAGGAATCCACCCAACAATCCATCCATCCATCAATCCACCCACTCATCTACTCATCCCTGCAACCCGGACCATACATAATTTGCAGGGTCCAGTGCAAGATGAGTGTGCAGGGCCACTTGATCAAAAATTATTGAGAATTTTAAGATGGTGACCACAGAGCATCAGACCAAGCGTGGGCCTTTCCGAGCATGGGCCCTGTGTGACTGCACAGGTTGCACATCCATGGAGCTGGCTTTGCGTGCAACCTGTACTGAGCACCTACCTGAGAGACGCTGGAATGAACGAGACCAGCTTGGTCACTGCCGCCTCAGTGCAGTGCAGCCCACTGGCCAGCAGAGGGCACAGCACTTTCGAGAGCAGACTCCTGTTTCAGACGGGCCAAGGCTGGTGCTCCGGAGTTTGCACATACTTGGGCACTACCTCCACTTCAGATCAGGAGCTGCAGCTAAGACATCTTTGGAATATGCTAATCTCCCCCCTACTCCTTCTCTGCTTGGCAGTCACCCACTGGCACTTCCAGGCCCCGCTCAGACATCCCTTCCTCTGTGAAGCCCTCCCTGACCGCCTGTGCCTGGGCTCTCTGGTTGCACTACAGTGGGCCGAGGATGGGCCTGTCTCCCTAACTCAGTTGTGAGGTGCTTCTCACCTCTGTTGCCCTGGCCCAAACCCTGACCCAGCAGAGGGTCTTGGGAAATGTTGGCAAAATTAATTGAATTTCTATGGTCAAAAGACTTAGGCACCCCAGGGGAAGGACAGATGGGGGAAAGGAGAATCGAGGGTAAAAAGAGGCTTCATCTAGACCCATTTTCCAGATGGGAAAGCTGAGTCTCAGAGGAAGAGGCAGACCTGGGAGAATGAACCAACATCTAGGGGCCCAGGTCAGAGTTCTCTCTCAGCTCCAGGCTGCAGACTGAACACAAGGTCAGCAGCCTCTGCGAGGTGACAATTCCCCACCAGCCTCAGGTGTCCTTATTTCCTCTCCTGGGCTGCCCTCTGAGGAGGCAGGGTGGGAATCATTAAGAGCCACCATCTACTGAGTCCTACTAGATTCTGAGTGCTGTGTGTGTATTAACCGACTCAGTCCTCAGAGTGGCCTAGGAGGTAGGCAGTCCTGTCATCTCCACCGCGGTAGGGAAACTGAAGGTGAGGAAGGTGAAGTAACAAGTTCAAGGTCACTCGGCCAGTAAGTGGCCAGGACTCAGACCCGGCCATCGCAGCCTGCACTGGCAAGCGGCGTGCCAGGTGTAGGTCTCCCCTGGGCTTCTTGGGTCCTCAGCTTCCTCTCTGCACAACGGGACACCCAGGTGGTCTTGAGGCTCCATAAGCTCCCCGGGGGACACAGCTGGCTCAAGGAGGCCCAGGAGGCATGTTTCCTCCCTGCCACAAAACCTCTTTGTGATGTGAATCGTCACATTACAAACTCCCCTCGTCCCCACACCCTCAAGGTTGTTGGTGGGTGGCGGTGACATAGCCCCAGAGCGCAGGAGCCCAGCAGCAAGGCACCACCAGCCACCATGGTCAGCTCTGGGGCCCCACAGGCCCTTCTCCCTCTCCCGGGCAGGGGGCCTCAGGCCACTGTCCTCTCCGGCTTCCTCTCCCAGCCCGGGCCTGGGGTCCTTGGACCTGTGCTCCCTGCAGCCCTGGCTGGGGGGGAGGTGGGCACCGTCAACTGGTGCAGTGGCAGGTCCCGCTTCCCCAGGAGCAGGGTGGCCCTGAGTGCCCAGGAAATTGCTCATGTTCTGCTTTCCTGCACATCAGAACCGCTGTCAGGCCCAGGGCCCGTGCGTCTCAGGAGGGAGGGGAAGACCGCGGGACCTGCACTTAAACAGGCGTCCAGCCTTGTGTCTTTGCCGCGGTGGTACTGAGGCAGCCAATATCGGGAGAAAAGAGGCGGATTAGGGTGTCTGCCCCAATCCTCGGACCCCTGTGAAAGCGGCTGTGCACGTGACACACACACTCCTTTTTAGCGCAGTCCCAGGGAGCCAGGGGCAGCAGCCAGGGCACGGGGCCACTCACCCGCTCATGAAATCGCCGAAAATGTAGAGGCCGTTCAGGTTGGGGTACTCGCAGCCGCGGTACACATAGCCCCCCGTGACCGACTTGCCCATCTTGTGCGGGTAGGCGAAGATCGGCAGCACGTCGTCTGCGGGGGTTGGGGAGGGGGCCAGATGAGCCCGCGGCGGCCGGTCCACCCGCCAGATGGATGCCGGGGTGTGGGCAAGGGGTCCCCTCCCCCGCGACAAAGCTTCCAGGGCAGCCCTGAGTCCTGCGGTCACAGGGTCACAGGGACGGGGGCGCCCACCGCGGCATGGCGGGGTGGAAAGCGTGCTTGCAGGGGGCCAGCGCGGGATGGGGCCGGGAGGAACGCCGGAGCGAGGCTGGGAGGCCCCCGAGGCCCGAGGAGGTTCCGGGCGGGGGCGCTGGTGCACGGCCAGTGGGATGGGGATGCGGATCCAAGATATTGGGGTACCCGGGGAGGGATGGGGCGGGGCCGGTCCCCGAGGGAGGCGTGTGCGCGCAGCCCGTGGGGTGGGGCGGGGGCGGATCCGCGTCGGGGTCCCCGGGGCGCGGGCGGTCACCAAGGGACGCGTTGGCACACAGCTTGTGGTCGTAGCACTCGAAGCCCTCGCGCGCGCGCCAGCCGTAGTTGCGGCCGCGCTCCACCAGGTCCACCTCCTCGAACTTGTTCTGGCCCACGTCGCCGCAGAAGAGGCGCCCGCGGCCCGCGCCCGACGCCGGGTCGCCGCGGTCGAAGGAGCAGCGCCACATGTTGCGCACGCCCAGGGCGTAGACCTCGGGCCGCGCGGCGGGGTCGCCCACGAACGGGTTGTCGCGCGGGATGCGATACAGCGGGCCGCGCTCGTTGCGGTCCACGTCGATGCGCAGCACCTTGCCCAGCAGCGCCGACCTGCGGGCGGGCGGCAGAGCGCGCCGGCTCGGGGTCGCCTTGTGTGTGCCAGGGCGCACGGGCACGGCGGGCAGGGCAGGGGCACGGGGCTGACAGCCTCGGCTGCGGGGCCAGCGCCCGGGTTCCATTCTGCTCAGCTACTATCGGCCTGGAAACCTCATTCATTCATTCAACATTTACCCGGCAGTTGCCCGTGCGCCAGGCCCTGTGCCAAGCATTGGACACAACGTATCACCTTTTCCTCGTCTCCTCCTCACAACAGCCTTTCAGGTAGGTGGGTGCTATTACGATCCCCACTCTACAGATGGGGCAGCCGAGCTCGGAAACGCCAAATACGGGGCCAGTTCCCACACCTCTAGGAAACGGCAGGGCTGGCATTCCCGCCCAGGCAGCCTGGCTCCGGAAACCCAAGGTCTTGACCACAACACTCTCCGGAACCGCAGCGTCCGCAGCTGTGATATTAGAGTGGCCCCACTCAGTCCTGCAGGACTGTGCTATAGGGTGAAAATTCCACTAGGAAAATGACTCCTGTTCACAGTTGTCTTCCAGGACCTGGCATGGTGACCAGCACATAGCAGGTGACCATGAAGTGTTTGCTGAGTCAGTGACTGGATGACTGCAAAGTCAGTGCACTGAACAGAGAGTGCAGGTGAGGGCTGGGAGAAGGGGAGAGCACAGGGGTGCAACCCTGACCTCACTGCAGCTATGGGGGATGAGTAGCTTCATGACAAAAATGACACATGATGGGAAAAATCTGCAATGTGTTGAAGACAGTACGGAGGGGAACACTGCCTTATCATCCATGATTTTTTATTTTTATTTTTTTAGAAATGGGGTCTCGCTCGGTGACCCAGGCTGGAGTGCAGTGGTGGCACGATCATAGCTCACTGCAGCCTCAAACTCCTGGGCTCAAGTGATCCTCCTGCCTCAGCCTCCCAAGTAGGTGGGACTACAGGCATGTGCCACCACGCTCGGCTAATTTTTTAATTTTTATTAATATTTTTTGTAGAGATGGGGTCTCGCTATGTTGCCCAGGCTGGTCTCAAACTCCTGGCCTTAAACAATACACCTGCCTTGGCCTCCCAAAGTGCTGGGATTACATGCCTGGCCTCATTGTGATTCTGGATGCACCTGCTTGATGTACCATTTTCCCCTCACTGCTAGCATTCGGTGTACTCCCTCCAGGCTGCCATTCAAGGCAGGGCTGATATAGTTTGAGCGGGTGACACGAGTGTGTACCCCGTCACTCTCACATAGCATTAGCACCCTAGTGTTTCTGTTATCAGTAGGGGCAGCTAACACATGTCCTCTGTAATGATGATAAAATGCCCCCACTCCATAGATGCCTCGTGGTTAAGCCCCTTTTGCTGGCCTCGAACTCCTGCCTGCGCTCCAGCCTGCTCGACACCACGCTCAGACCACACCCTGAGCCCACACGCCACACTCCAGGCTTCTGTACATCAGTGGGCAAGACTCATAACAGCAAAATAGTGTTTTTAAACTCTGTCCAATTATCCACAAATCCCTAATTTCTATTTTCTCAGCTTCATCTCTAAACATATCCCAAACATGAGAAAGCTGGGATGACTCTTACACCATCACATATAAAAGCACAAGTCACAAAATGTGAGCACTTTAATTGCTGTAATCAACATCATACTCGCTATTTTTACTTTCTGGGCTGAGGACAATTTTGTCATTTTGGCTAAGGGAATGGAGGGGGCTGACTGAGACCCCTAAATATCCTTGTTTACACGCACACGGCTCCACGAGTACGTGTGTGTGTGTGTGTGTGTGTGTGTGCACGTGCACGCCCACGCGGAAAGCAGCAAGCTCTTAAGCTCATTTGCTTAAGCCAGGAAGTGGGTAAAAGAGAGCGAGACCTGCACTTCGACCTCTGCGTCTCCATGGTTGACCCTGGGACAGAACACCCGCGTGCCCACACCACCCTGCTCCAACCGGCACACACTCCCCGTTTGGTCTGGGGTGCACCCTTTCCTTTTTCCAGCGGGGCTCCAGCAGGGCTGGGCTGACCTTAGAGAAAATCCTAGCTTCCCAGAGGCTCGCCGATGTCACCTATCAGGCACCTGTGACAAGTGGGTTCTGTGCCTCACCGCTGGAAACCACAATTGCCTTTACTTCTCATGACAAGCCCCGCCATGGCGGTGAGCATTCCCCTCTGGTGAGAGCAAGTGACGTGCCTGCGGTGCCCAGCTAGCTGCAGGCGGAGCTGGGACCCAGAGCCCCTTCCACTGCCCTACACGGCTTGGCTGAGGAAGTCACTCGCCCTCCGCAAGAGTGGAAGAAGCCCAGGAGTACGTAAACCACCCCGCCAGCCAACCAAATGCAGAACATACTTGTTTTGGGCATTTCCAAACTTTCCAAAGGGGTCTCCGGCCATCCCGCCATCTCCAGTGAAGATGTAGAGGTACCCATCGTCCCCAAAGAGCAGCTGGCCCCCGTTGTGGTTCGAGGCTGGTTCTTCAATCTCCAGAATTATCCTAAAGGAAGATAAGCCCCCCCACAAAGCTCAGCCTTCCACACATGGGCCAAAAGCACAAAACAAGATCACAGCCATAAAACCTCCCCTCTCGGATGTCATTTCACAAGGGAAAAGAGTTTTCATATCCTTATAGCAAGTGATTTTCACAAGGATCTGGTAGGGAAGCCGGGTTGGAATAATTCACTCCATTGTGTCAAGGGAGACCTGGCGGCTCAGAAAGGTTGAGCAACTTGCCCAAGGTCACACAGTCCATAGGTAGCTGAGCTGGGACTAGAACTCGAGTCTTCTAGTTCTGGTCTAGTGTTTTTTCTACTGCTCTCCACTGCCAGCACCTGCCCTGTTATGATTATGTGAAATTGTTGACATAGTCACTGACCCAGCTGGCTTCTTCCTCATCCTAGCTTCCCACAACCAGCTACGTATATGCCGAGCACATTCACACATTCCCTCATTTGTCGTCTCCCGGAACTTCTAGGGCGGTGGGCTGGACGGTGCGGGTTGCACTTGGCTCCACGCTCAACCCTCGGGAAGCTCCCTCACGCCACTGCGGGAAGCCTGACCCCTTCTGCCCAGTCGGCCGTACTTCCCGGTCGGCCTGCTTCCAGTTAGGGCTGGTGAGGAAGGGAGAAAGCACATTTCTCTGGCTTCTGGCTCTGCCTCCAGAAGCGGCGGCTGCAGGGATAGCAGCAGCGGCTGGTGAACGTGGCCTCCCGGGTCTCCACCCAGACATCCTGGAACCGAGAACGCAAACAAGGCAGCACAAAGAACTTTCCCCTCTTGTTCCTCCTACCCAAGACGGGTAGCAGCTTCTCACAGTGGCAAATCTTTAGGTAACTTGACCCTCCTCCTTTCCTTCTCCAGCCCTCCCAGGCCTTTGTAATCAACTCCCTGCACTAAATTCCCTCTGGCTGAAATACTTAGGGTGCTTAGGTTTGCCAGGATTGGCCACTGATTTATTAACCCCTTATGGATACGAACAGGAAAAACCACGATATAAAAAGGTCAACTTGAACCCAGGACTCTGGTCCTTCAGGGCCAAGACTGGAAGCCTTTGCATTGCGAGGTCACAGACTTGGTGAGTGACACAGAGCCCAAAATTCTGGGTCCTTTGTGTAGAGCACAGCTCAGACTGTCCGTCAGCCCCTCCCACTGGGATCCCAGCTCTGGGAACGGAGACCGACAGCTGATTCAGGCAAGGAGGACCCTGGGTCCTGCCTGCCCTGAGCTAGCCTCGCCTACCTCTCTCCCGAGTGAGTCACGTTCTAGGCTTGTACTTGTGGGGTCCCCCGAGGACCTTTGCTGAACCCCTACCCTGAAAAAGGCTCTTCTGTATATTT